AGGGCGAGAGGCTGGGCTGGGTTAAGCAGCAGAAAAACAAATCTAAATTCTAATAAGGAAATTATTCATTTGGGGCAATTAGGAACCAGGGAGGAGAGGAGACCTTTCCCTGCCTTTCGGAACATCTAGCTGAGAGAAGAACCAGAATGTGCGGTTAATAAACTCTGACTGGAGAAGTCTGGGAGGGCAAGCCAACCACATCAAGAGAGGAATACATATATATATATATATATATATATATATATGGAATGAGAGAGAAAGAGCACAAGGAGGTGTTTAAAAATGACTCGCTTTCAGGCATACCCTTTGGAAAACAGCATTAGGCTTTTCTGCTTGATTTCAAGAGTAATGGGCCAAAAGACTGGATTGGTTTTCTCCCTTATAGGACGGAAAGGGGGGGCTTTCTTTTTCCTCTCTTTAAAAAAAGCACCCAGATGTCTGTCATTCTAGGGTGTTCCCTGTCTGGACAGACCTCGGAGCACTTGCATAATTCACAATGGCACCAGCTCTCCAGGGGCCTTGGCTGGCAGACTCACGCTTAAGGAGCCAGGGAAAAAGAGAGACGGTTGCCACTCTTGGCATTTTCTGCCTTGGCCTCTTTCGGAAAGAGAGCAAAAGAGAAAGAGACATCAAAAGCCCAAGACGGTTGCCCCTGCTTCCCCTCTATCATGATGATTTCTTTTCTTCCCCTCCCCAAAGCTGGTTAATTAAATCATTAAAATTTTTTATCTTTGCTTAGCCATGGATAACAATGTTTGAAACAGTTATCATTAGTATGGGTTGCTGGAGATTCATGCAAATCCGGGAAGTGTGTGAGGGTGGGAAAGAGACCAAAGGGGATTAGAAGCCATAGACGCATACCTTCAACTGTTCTGGTTCGGCGCAAACAGTCCCAGTTTTTCACCTACTTTTAAAACGTCCAGGTTTCTCTCTCCTTCTTGCACTTTCCCCTTACATCCTCACTTCCTATGTTGTTTGGCCATTTGTCCAAACAACAAATGGTTAGTAGAGCAGATCAGGCCAGAATTCTCCCTGGAAGAAGCCAAGATGGCCAAACCAAAGCTGTCATACTTTGGCCACATCATGAGAAGACATGGCTCACTGGAAAAGGCAATAATGCTAGGAAAGGTGGAAAGTAGCAGAAAGAGAGGAAGACCACGTTTTAGATGGAAAGCTTTGATCAAGGAGGCCATGACCCGGCTCTTGTAGGATCTGAGCAAAGCAGTAGAGAGATCTTGTCGCACCTTTGAGATTAACTGAAAGAAAGAAGTTGGGAGCATGAGCTTTCCTAGACTAAAGTCTACTTCCTCAGGTGTATTTGGAGAGAATATGGAATACATATTCAAAGATATAGCCACATTAGTCTGTGGAATCAGTACATAGAGAGATCTTGTAGAACCTTTGAGACTAACTGAAAGAAAGAAGTTGACAGCAGGAGCTTTCGTAGACTTAAGTCTACTTCCTCAGATGCATTTCCTCTGAGCAAAGCAGTTGAGGACAGATGGTCTTGGAGATGTCTCATTCACGGGGTCACCATGAGTTGAAGTTGATTCAATGGCAGTTAAAAACAACAAGAACTCAATTTCCATCTGTAAAACATTGGATTGTATGCACATGGACATGTTACCAGGGCCAGCTCTACCGCTAGGCAGAGGACACAATTGCTCCTGGTGAAAGGTGCTGGTTTGAGGGAAGTAGCAGCAGCAGAAACTTCCTAGGGTTGCCAGATTGAAAACTGAAGATGGCATCTGTACCAATAATGGTTGTACAGAGGAGGGACATTTAGGAGGTGTTGCTTCTTACTGGTTGCTTGACAAGCAACACCTGCTGAAATTCCCTCTTCTGCACAACCCTTACAGGTACAGGAACCATCTTTGGTTTTCAACCTGGCAACTCTAAAACTCTTCCCAGTCTTAAACTCCTTGGCTGTTCCTTTCTACTGAGGGACAAAGCTCTGTGTGTCACACAACCTGTCCCAAGACCCAAAACCTATTTT